TGAAAATGTGAAGATACGTCAAAAGGATTGTGTACAGACTTGACTTTGCACCCCAGCTACATGAACCATGGTCAGACAGCGCTATAAATCAATCAAAGTCTTTCATTGGCATTGATTTTCTTGATTAAAGAAATGATCATGGTCCTAACCACAACCCTCCTTGATGCTTTTTGCTTTGTGGAAAGGAAGCACAGGAAGTGACATGGTGTCTGATTTATGCCTGTGAATGAGACTCCTGTTTTAGATGCACTCGGAAAGCGAGGTAACACATTTTGCGTTGATTACCTCATCTAATGTGGTTAGAGGTAACGGTGACCCGTCTCAGAGGAGCCCAGCCAGACCTAAATCATATTTCAGATCCATTAAAGTGCACACCTCAGCATTTGTGCTCTGCTTCTAGCGAGTCGTTTACCCCAGGTCCCGACTAATTGAATTTCAAAACTGAGGCCCGGAGGCGCGTCCTCACCACTTCGGCCCAGTCGTCTGTCCGTATGTTAGCTCGAACGCTGTCCAGCGACGTGCGGTGAAGTTTGTGACGAGCCTTTCCTGCATGTTTTCGCAGTTTCCCTCCTCCAACACACCTGATTCAAATGATCAGCTCATCAGCTAGTTCTGCAGGATCCTGATCACGATCCTGATCATTTGGGTCACTGCCACATGCTAGCAGTGGCTCGCTACATTCATGACTCCATTCTGCAATTTGAGTACATAACCAATATATGCGTCTTATGGATGATTTAAAAATATATATATTTTAAGTAGACCCATTCGTTTATATTGTGCCTGATAATACGATGCACCTAATGCGCCCTAAAATACGGTAAATGAAGGGCATTGATAGTTTCTTGTCTGTACAATGTAATTTCAGTGAGTTACCTTTTTTAAGAACACACCTGTTCTTTCCTAACAATTGTTTTTTTTTGTATACTTTTTTTTTTTAGCATTTTAGCCGTTGTCTACTAAAATAACCTTGGCCCAGTTCAAAGAAGCCCGAATTTTGAGTTTCTCATTTTTTCAAGGGAAACAAGTTTAAATTCCAACATACTACGAAGAACTCGAATCTTCCACGTTAAATCGATGACCGAATAGTTCCTCTCTGTGTTGAAAGAGGAAGACATCCTCCTCGCAGAGCTTCCTTCGGCCTCAATACGTCTTAATTGCTTTCTGCTAATGTGAGAAGGGTTGCACTGGAGGGATCGACTTCCCCTCCACTGTCGCCTCCACTGCTGTTCGGCATCGCTCAGTGTAGCCGGCGTCTAGACGCCACTCGATGGCGGATCAATCACAACACCCATTTGCCAATTAGGCTCCTTGTGCATTATAAATAAACACATCAGCGTCACAACATCCTCGGCTGCTGCTGCTGGATCGCTGTACTGTCACATTACATCCTCGATACCGACTCTCATGTGAAGTGACAATCCACTGCTCAATAATGTACTGTCGTCGATTTCAGAGATGGCAGAAGTACTCACTTTCTGTTACTTAGAAGTACAAAAACTTGTATGTAAGCAAGATTTTGTCACCGATGGGGACCTTTACAGTATATTAATGGTCACAGAGAACGCTGTCCAGCTAGCGAAACTAAGCTAGCATTAGCAATGTGAACTCATTGATGTTAGCCAGGGCTGTTGGCAGCATGCTTTCATATCACTCACAATAGAGTGTTACGACAACACTAAATGGTTTAAAATTTAATGTTTGGAATGTACAATCAATTGGAAAATCAAAAAGGCAACAAACTTAGCTGTCAATCAGAAACATCGTTAATTTTGCGCGGCTTCAGACTCCTCAGCTGCCCAAGTTCTCTTATTTCTTTTTGATTGTCTTACGCCCAGTGTTAGCACATTTGTTTTAATGTTTTGAATTGACTTATGGCCAATAAAAGATGCTAAATTAGTTAATAACAACTGAAAAAAATACCATATTTGTTTTTCCACATTACGATGAGAATTTTAGAAGCTAGTTTTTTCTTTATTTTATTGTTTTTGATTTTTTTTTTGTTTGTTTTTTTTTTAAAAGAACAAAAAGTGAACAGCACACCAATGAATTTCCCACTTTCCTTAACGTTGACATTGTTTTCTAACTACGGAGAAAATAAATCACGTTACCTGTCGCAAATCGTGGTTTCAGATCGAGCTCCTGCCGGCGTGACTTTTCAGCTTTGGTGACCCAAAATGCCACATCAGCTAACGATCGCAAACTTACTTGGTACATTCATACATACCTTCTCTTCCAGACACCTTCAAAAGCTTAAAAAAAAAAAAAAAAAATGACATCGTTTCCTTCCCACCACGGCTGTTGGCAGCCATGTTGTTAGTGCGAGCGCCGTACGTGCTTCAAGAGCGCTCACTATCGTCGTCTTCCCTCCTCTTTCCAGAAAGGCAACACGTTCTGGAGCAACATCGAGTGTCCCGAGTCTGTCGTCTTTCCCTGGGACGCCAAGTCGACGTACATCCGCTCGCCGTCGTTCTTCGGCAAATTAGTAAGCGCGGCGCCTCGCCGATTCCGTCCGTGCCTCGGGAAAACCGAACCCATCGCGTGACGCCCTCTCCCTCCGTTCGTGTCTGAAGAGTAAAGAGGTCCCGCCCCCTCAGTCGATCGACAACGCTCACGCTCTGCTGTTCCTCGGCGACAAGGTGACCACCGACCACATCTCGCCCGCGGGCAGCATCGCCCGGGTCAGCGCTGCCGCCAAGTACCTGCTCAGCAAAAGGTGCCTTTGACCATCGACCTTTTTTTTTTTTCATTGATGACAACAATCATCATGTCTTATCGTGCACGCACGGTTCTGAGTGCCTCGGTATTCTGGCATCCCGTAGGCTGACCCCTCGGGAGTTCAACTCTTACGGCTCCCGGCGGGGCAACGACGCCG